AGAGGGGGGGGGGGGGAAGGTAGGAGCGGGACGATAACGAAGTGAAATTCGACGTAACGCAATGTGTCTTTCTTTTTCGAACTTCAACGATTTGATTGAAACTGAGTTGGCTTCGTGAAAATTGGCGATGTACCAAGAAAATCGATAAGTCATACAACAGTAAGCGCGCGATAAAAACCGGTTCCGATCGTTTTGTTATCGGTTTGACGCGAATATCTAATAGCAGAATCGGGAAAGTTATTTTTTAAAAGTAACTCGTTATCCATGAAAGAAAATAACTCGCTACTCGATATCATCACTCAAGAAGTAACAAATCATCATAACTTCTATTACTTTTTTTATCAAGTTTTGATAAAACTTTCTTTTTAGAAGAATTCACTTCAGTCTATTCTATATAGATGTGTATAACGTATCTATATGTGCAATAACGATAAAAGTAATTATATTAATTATGGTTACTAATGAAAAAAACAAAAAAGAAAGAAATAATGTTACTGAGAAAAATAATGTTGCAATGTATTATTTTCCAACTCTGTCTAATAATAAGGAATAATTATATAGAAGACGACGATGATTAGAAGAAGACTGACTGGAAGAGCGTTCATCGGAGGAAGTTCGCTGAAAGCAGGAAGGCGATCGACAGCAACGTCGACAGGCACGTGACGCCGATGACGCCCGAGCCCAGGTTATCTTGCATGACGTTGTCGTGGCATCGGGCGACGAGGTCAAAGTCGACCACATTCATGGGCTTACCGTTGTACTCGAACGGCGAGATGCAGTAGTTGCGACGCTGGAACTCGACGCTGTTGCCGCGTACGAAGTCGCTCTCAAGAACATTGTGCGCTTGGCAGTCGCATGGAAAGTGATTGTCGATCGCGCTCAACGTGTCTACCTCCAGGAGGATGTCCCGAGCGTGTCGCGGCGCCTCCAGCATGTGATTACCATGGAAGCGCAGTACCTCGATATAATTGTCGCGCCGCAGGTGCAGACGTTCAATCAGATCTACCTTGTTGTTCAGTATATTGAGCCGATCCACATGGACGAGACCGGCAAATGCGTCCTTTTGCACGATCCCAAGGTCACTCTCCTGGATATTGAGCGAGTATACGTACGAGAGGCCGCGAAATGTGTAAGCTCTGAGGCCGGATAGGTCCATATAAGTGAGCTTGAGCAGGCCGACGTGCTGTAGACCGTCAAACGCGTCCTGCTCGATCGTTCGGATGCCAGATGGAAAGACGAGCCGAACGACATTGGTGAGACCGGCGAAAGCGTGGCTTTGGACGGTTAATAGCGGATTGTTGATCAGCAAGATCACCTGCACGTTGGACGTACCGGCGAACGAGTAGCCTTCGACGTAGCGGATCTTGTTATTCGCCAACAACAACACTGAGACGTTCTGCAAAGCAGCGAACGAGAACTTCTCGATGCAAGGCAACGGTGTATGCTGGATCGAGAGTTCGCGCAGCCTGTTCAAGCCGCGAAACGCGAACGGTCGTATGGAGGTGATGTTGTTGCCGTCCAACGTGAGCTTGCGCAAAATTCGAAGACCCGCGAAGGCGTCGCCTTTGATCACGGGGAAATTATTCTTTGTTAGCGACAACTCCTCCACGGTCTCCGGCAGCTGATGCGTTGGTATATCTTCGAGGCCGCCTGTGTTGCAGAGCACCTAAAATTCAAAGCGTGTTTGAATTTGTGAGAATTGCCGAATGCAAATGTAGCGCATGTGACGCTGCCGCAGTAGAAAACTTTTCAGAAGAAACTACTCGGTTTTTACTGCGACTAGGATTTATTATATAATAATTAATTGTTCAGAATCTGGACAAGAAAATGCTAGCCGGTATTTCTTGGTTCTTAATTAGTGGCCAGTTAGTATTATTGGCCAGAAAGTAAAGAAAAAAGACAGAAGAAAAAATAGTAATTAAAAAAGTTAGAAATATCACAATAATGAATGAATTTACGAAATTATTATTACGATAACGATAAGCAAAAAATGTAGCAAAAAAATAATCATATATTTAATAAGAAAATAGATTTATAATTATATTCGAAAACAACAAACAAAAAGATATATCATCACATTATTGCAATAACAAAAATATAATTACAGATTTATAATCGTATTATCATACAGTTATTATTATATAATTGTATTATTATATATATTATATATAATAATATTCGTTACGTTAGCGACGAATAGAAAATTAGACCACAAGAAATATAAAACACTATTTTAGATTTTGGATATTTTTAGTGTTAACTGGACAGCTAGATATTAATGATAAAATTTAGACTGCCAAGATGAAAAACACTATTTTAGATTTTGGATATTTTTAGTGTTAACTGGACAGCTAGATATTAATGATAAAATTTAGACTGCCAAGATGAAAAACACTATTTTAGATTTTGGATATTTTTAGTGTTAACTGGACAGCTAGATATTAATGATAAAATTTAGACTGCCAAGATGAAAAACACTATTTTAGATTTTGGATATTTTTAGTGTTAACTGGACAGCTAGATATTAATGATAAAATCTAGACTGCCAAGATGAACTCTAATAGCTTTATTTCCCAGATAGCACAAGATCTCCAGGGAATGTCCTGAGGCCGTTCTCAGGACGTAGGAATATTCTCAAAATATCTTTAAGATGTCCTGTAGAGATTTGTGCTGCTTGGGTTATGATCACTGGTGTGTACATATATCGGCGTAAGCCTTACACACATAACACTTGAAATTGAAAATCACATAATTATACTTAAGGTAAACGTTCCAACGGTCGAACATACATGTCCCAATGATTGACATATTGGTTTTGTATTTTTCTTTGTTGAAATGCTTTTCAATATACAATATAACAAATATACAATAAAACAATATAATAAATGAAAAGAAATATTTAGTTACTTTGTGATTTTGTTTCATTTATTGATAAGCATCTTAACAAACACAAGTATATTATTAGTAATTCAATTATCGGTACACGTTCAATCACTAGGACGTTTACCTTATAATACTAGAGTTATAATGGCTTTAATTATAGTTTATTCATACGCGCATAAGGCCGAAAATCGTGTAACACTCGAACTAGGGAACGTTCGGGCATCCATTACGCCGTGCGCACATGAAATACATCATGAGATTTTTCTTGTTCTCACCTGCTTCGGGGAAAGGCAAATGCATTCTGGAGGGCAATCTCGACTTTTCGCAGTAGTAATCTCCGAATTGGAGGTGAACGTTAGGTCCACTGCTGCTATGCATAGCAGGTAGTAGATGCAGATCTAGAAAATGACATACGCGTTTAGGCATAGGTACGTTATTTCTCTGCTGCCGCGACTCGATCGCGGCTGCCATACTGCGAAACTCATTTCTTATTGTACACGCGAATACCGTCACGAAGGGATTCGCGGAAAGTGGACGCATGACGCAAACTCTTTATGGGATTTAATGTTGCATGGTAATAGAAGAAGCGGTGAAAGCCACTCGAGAACACAGCGAAGACTCGATAGATTCCCTCAGTCTCGACTCGGTCAACGAGCCTGCAGGCCGAAGTGATATTTCTTACTCGCGCGCTGTATTCAATTTGCCATGCTGCAAGGAGCACGGGGGGAGAGAACACTGCGCGCGAACGCATGCAAATACACGCGCGCAAAATGCGTGCGGCCGCTCTGCGTTGCGTACCTGCGCCCTGCGATACATCAATTCCGTCGATTTTTATGGCGCATGCCTCGGCATATCCAGGTGAGAGAGCGTCACGCGAAGGTGGCCGCCGAACGATGTATATATCACCGAGACGGGGGCGAAACGGGGCCACTGGCGGCCGAGAGAGTCGTTGACACGTATATACGCACTGTCCTTACCCGTGCTCGGGGTTGACACGCACCGCGCGTACACACGCACTCACGCACACGCGTGCCGCCGATTCTCGCGTACGAACTCGTAACACCGCAGATCTCGTATGTGACTCCACCGCTCTTCTCACTCGCCCGCGAGACGCGAATGTCGTGGCGCGACCGGGAGGAGCGAATTTTCAGCATCCGCGGCTGCATTCGCCGGCTGGGCGCGGGGCTTTATTTCTCCTCGGTCACCCTCTCGCCACCCCCGTGATCCCTACCCCCGCGAGTTCCTATGCCCGGTACCGTCGCCGCCGCCGCCGCCGCCGCCGCCGCCGCCCGAAGACGCGTACTGCGCAAGCTCATAATTATTCTCCCCGCGTGCGTATCGGGGAATGAGGCTTATTAGCGGGACGTATCTCTGTGTATGTCTCTCTTTCTGTGCATGTATGTGCGCGTAGTGTATGTATATCTCCATCTTTTCCTTTCCTCGTCTTCCTTCGTCTCATTCCGCATCCTCCGAAACTACCATCGAAATCCCGGTGATTTCGCGTACGTGACCGGGAGCAGTGCATGTTCAGTTTTAGCTTTACTCGACATGTTTGGGAGGGGGGAGAGGCAGAAGAAACAGTTTTTTCTTTCTTTTTACTCTTTTCCCGTTCTTCCATCATTCTTGGTTTTTGTATGATTGCTTCAATCGTTTTGAAGTAATAACATCAAATAAATAATAAATTGAATGAACAACTGGTCAATGATTGTGTTCTTTATACATGAATGCATCTACATAATTTGATATTTTGATTAAATGTATCAGTATGTCTCTCTCTATCATCTTGTTTGTTTTTTCAACATACAGAAAATATCATAACTAACATAAAATTACTTTAATTTACACTTCTCTCTCTTATTATTACTTATCTAACTTATTTTTTCCCCCGAATTGAACTTTGCTTTAACTTATCTTTGTAAATATACACTACATATGTGTGGTGTGTACACAGCGCATACAGCCATATCACACACGTGATCGGTGCAGCACGAGTCACCGTACTCGACATGCCATGCATATGACCTAATCAAGATAAACTTAATTAGCTGGCTTGAAACGGAGAATAGGTGCGCGATCTTTTATAAGGTAAAATCAGTAGTGCAAGACACATTCACGTATGTGTCACTGTTTACGCAGTTATTATTCACTTAAAAATTGAAGAAAAAAAACACACGTAATATCATATCAATAATATATTTTATTGATACATTTTTTCAATAATATATTTTATAACAAGCTTGGTGCAATGTTACTAGTAACGTACATATTCACGTGATAAAAATAACCGTAGTGGTAAATATAAATATGTCTATATTGTAAATAATTACAATACTGAACACAACTCCGATGAACACGGCCGCGATAAAAATGATGAATTATTTAACATTTACATAAAATTGTACTTAAAAAATTATACGAGTCCGACAATTCAAGCAAACGGTTTTCAACATCTCCACTTGCAATAAGGTTGAGGTCATCGGTGTTTTGTACAATAATGTAAATATTTACAGTTTATGTACGTACAATGCGTATATGTATGCGTGTATGTATATGTGTTTAAATTTGTGTGTGCATGCGTGCGCACGTGCGCGAGTGTATGTGGACGCATGTATGCATATTTGTGATATACGTGCGTATATTGAACATAGTAAAAATCAGTCTTACAAATAATACAACGCTAGTTATTAAGGCAACCTCATTTATGACTATGATTATTTACAAGAGGTATATTAGAAATTATTTTGAAATCACTATAGAAAATCAACTAAAAAACGTTGTGTAACGTAACGGTCCTTTTATACTAGCGGCATATTTTTTCTTCATACTTTGTGTTAAACGTAGTAATAAGCTGTAAGACAGTATAAGTTTATAAAGTTTCATATGAGTATAATTTAACAAAACAAGGAATGAAATTAAAAATAGAAATTAACAAAGTAAAAGAAATGTATTTAACTTGTGTTAGTATCATGTATCGAATTTTGCTAAAAAATATCTATGAAGTTATATCTATAAAAAAAAAATACAAAATGAAACATTCTGAACAATTTCAGTGGTAACGTAAACTCAAACTAACTCCCATAGGAGATCGGCAATATGTTTAAAAATAAAATAAAAACTCTGTTACACACGAACCGTACATTCAGGTGTCTAATAATGAATTTCCTTGACGAGAACTGATTGTATCCGTACAATAAAACTCACCATGTTATCCATTGAAATATAAGCATATTAAAGTACAGAACCGTGTATGTTACAGTTTAAGTAGGTAACGTACGAGAAGCGCATGGCGCTTAAAGAGTATATCCAAAGTATAAGATAATTATATATAAAATTTATATAAAATAATTGATTCGATCATTCTTTTTCGACAGCTACATAAAAGTCAGTGAAAAAATTCACGAATACTTTCACTCGAGAGATACAATATTTAACCAGCACGTATATTATGTCATACTAACTGAGAAAAAAGAAATAAAAAGCAAAATATATAATACCGCAGCATCCTACTTAATTAAAATCAGTATATAAACACAAGCAATTCGGAGCTATAAGAGATGACATATTTTTGGAAAAGAAAAACAATAATACGGCGATTGCTTCCTAATATATGGTGGTTCGACGAGTGCGAATGAGACAGCTCTATTGTCCAAATAAATTATTAAAAAGCGTTATATACGATGAGGAAATATTACGACTTATAATTAGTGCCTTCCGTTTTTGTGCTTCAAGTATCATCCAATATCTAAATATTCGTGTGTACGGAGACTATCGAGACTATTACTCGATGACTTTACAGCGACTCTTCGTTAAACTGTGACATTTCGCACTCGTTAAGTGTACTAATCACCTTAAAAAATTACAAATTAATTATTATTAGCGATAGTTTGACTTCTGGAAACCTTAATCTCAAAAGAGAGATTATTAAATGAAACATACCTACAATCACACGGTGACATATTTGATTGTACATTAATAAAAGATATATTTGCTATTTCCATATCTTCATAAATATATTCCTGTTTTATAAAAATTCTGTTGTAATAAATATAGAATGACTTATATCGAGGTAGAAACGTTCAAGGCAGCTTTGGTTTGTCGAGTGTTTGTTTGCCAAGACAAGGCATTGGGCATAATAATTTATGGATTATTATCACATTCCTCTCTATTTTTCATACTATTATAAATTCTATTACACGTTTATTTATTCGTATTTGTATTGTAGAAAATGTAGGTGGTTTGGACACTTTGAAAATTCTTGATGATACAATGATGTAAGCTAATTTTTATAACTTTAACTTGCCCAATATATCTTGCCTTGACACATTTGAGTATTTCGATGTAACCAGCGATTCCGCTTTGCATCAGAAGAATCGATGAGAACATTATTTCTAGCGCTGCATGACTATTCATATATCATGACAATAGAATATGAGATCTCTTTGTAAATATAGATTAATCGATTTTATTGATAATTGTCTTGCAATCTGCGTAAACCTGAGTTTTCTTTACAACTACGGCACGATAATGAACACAAAAAGGTGAGTTGTAAATCCGCGAATTATACACAATCGTGTCGCCAATTTACTAGTTTGTCATGAAGTATAATCTGTTGAAAAAAAGAGTTGAAAAATTCAGAAATTTACGCCACGTTAGTAAATTTTGCACCAGGTGAAACAAACCGTTAAAAACGATTAAAAAAAAACATAAGGCAACTTTAATAACATGTATATATGTTTAGTATACTTCCACATCTAACGAAACTAACAATTAAAATGCATATTAGTTCATTATAACATAATATTTATCAATATAGCATCGTTTATAATATTTCCGCGCGCGAAGTATATATATAATATATTTATATTTATATTTATATATATATATATATATGTGTGTGTGTATATATATATTTAATCTCTGCTCTATTTTTTCTTTTCTACATAAATACACACATTACATGTATATATAATAGACTGTATATCTGTATATAATTCAGTATTATTCAATGTTATATATTGTAAACTATGAACTCGATCGGTAACATGATTTTCGTTCATCAGTCTTAATGAGTCTTAATTAAATGTTAGTGCACTGACAGCTCGTTGCACGTATAATGAGGTAGATTATCATGATATGCAAAATCGTAGCAAGTTCGACTAGGCACATCTGGCCAAAATATTTCTGACTTTCTAGTATTGTCTGAATTCTGGACTTTGCAACGCTACCTGATTTCTATGAGGCAACGTTTTTTTTTCCACTTCGAGTTACTCTCATATCTTCTAACAACCGCATAATTCGACAAAAATAACTTGCTACGATCATGATATCATGTGTTGATATGTATTGAGCAATATTGCCACTACATCCCTGACCCATTATCAGTAATGATGAAGTAAATCTAGTAGTTAAATTTATAAAATAGATAACCTTACAATTACTAACGAATTAACGGCAATATTTCAGTCATTAACACAGGATATAATTTCTGAAAAAAAAATATATATATATATATATATATATATATATATA